GATACCAATCTATAAAGTCCTCTTCAGACTCATGAAACACATGCAATGATGCCAAATGCAGGAAGATCACAGGTCAGTGGGTGGGAAATCTTCTGGATCCAGTGGTGTAAGCACCTCAGCGCTGGCAGGGGTCTTCACGTGGCTTCTCCAGCTCCAGAGGTCTGGCTCCATCAGCCTCTCTCCGTGTGTCTTCTCCACAGAGACACCTCCCAGGGAGTGAGCAGAAAGAGAGAAAGTGTTTCCTGCCTCCAAGGAGGAAGACAGGAGTTCCCAGGATCCTCAGGAGAAGGCCTTGCCCACACAGAGGCCTCATTGGCTATTACCTAATTGACAGGCTAGACTCCACCCCTTCACCTCTTAATCCCCTCAAACTGACAAACAATTATGTAACTACCACAGTCCCCTTTTTCCTCCCAGTGGCTGGCGACCTCCTTTTCTGCTTATGTATGAGCTGCAGAATTGCTGTCTGCCGGAGTTGACTCAACGGCACTGAGTGTGAGGGTTCGTTTGTTTGTTTGTTTTGAGCTGGTTATGAAAGGAGAAATAACTTCTAACAGTAGACAAAGGAAATGGGTTGGAGAGATCGTAAGATGTGGTTCCATTCTTCAGTGGTTTGCCTTTTCATGTATTCTGCTTTATTTCATGCTCATTGTAATATATTGGTTCTTGGTATTTCAAATTAATGGTGTATCAATTTGCTTTTTAAATTGCAACCTTTCTTAAGCGTGTGAATGAGAAGTACCAAAAGATGTTTGGAATTAAATTTATTTGACAATATTGATCCCTCTAGATGCAATTCTATGTCTTTTTGCTTAAATTTTCTAGATGTTTCACCAAAACCAACAGCACTCTCAGCAGTAATCCCCTTCCCGCGCTCCCAGGGGTTGCACCTTATCCTCAGGATGGGTTGGAAATGAAGCCCCTCAGTCACATGAAGATGCCTGCATGTCTGGCTTCCACGGTCCCTGAATGTGGCCAGTTAGCTGAAGAGAGCGAGAGCATCAAGGAGAATGTAGCGCCAGGACCTGCCCAGCACACTTGCTGCCAGGACAGTCGACGTGCAACCAGCTCTGATTGCACAGCAGATAGAGCGGAGTCCAACAGAGGTACAGGAGAAGCATTGTGTAGCTGAAGTTTCTGGATAGTCTCCAGTTAGCTAAGAAAAGCTATTTAGAAAAGGCTGAAACCATCGGTTTTGTCTCTGCTGCCGACTCACATATTTCTTTAAAAGATGGGTAGAGAGTATTGGATACTTCAAAGAAATATGGATAAAGAGTCCTTGAAGTTCTTTTATTCTATCTTTTACTTTAGGCTATTAACCCTATTAACTTGGTGGAAAATAAATCCCAGGTAGAGTTTGACTTGGTTTGTGCCTGAACACACTTTGCTAGGTGATTACATTTTGTGATCCTGGGCTCCTTCGTCCACTGAGTTGGTCCTGGAGCAGTAGCCTTTCCTGAAGGAGGTGCCTGGAGCTTCCATAGGTGTTTCACTTATTTGTTTTCTGTTTATTTTGTTTTATAACTTTCAGATGAATTGTATAACTGTTAATGAGAACTCGACTTTTAAACCTTTTCAAACTACTGTTGACATGCAATTGAAAGGAAATTCAACTGGGCTCTATATTTGCTTATTATTATTTCTTTATTGATATTAGTAATGGTTTTAGATCACAGGATAGTCGACCGCTAACTTACCAGTCAGCTAGTGGTTCGAACCCACCAGCTGAATAGATGGAGCTGTTCTGCTCTGCCCTCTAGGGCCACTAGGGGGTTACTTATATAGTGGGAGCTGATAGCTCTATGTCAATGGTTAAAACCACCAGCCCCTTCAGGAGAGACAAAGTAGGCTATCCGCTCCAGCCAAGAGCGACAGTCTCAAGGGGCAATTCTCTACCCTACTAGGGTGCTATGACTTGAAATCAGTTCAAGAGCAGTGCGTTTTGCTGGCAGTGAGGTTTGAGTCGTAGAAAGCAGCCTTTGTCATTTCATAACACTCCCAAATCTTTCTGTTTTTCAGGAGATGGCTGTGTCCCTTCGGAACCAGATAACACAGTTTTAAGTTGGAATCCCTTAACGTTCCCACCTGTCTCAAAGGACTGTACTGAAAAGACGGCCTGGTCTCCTGGTGTTCCCTTGGAGAGCTCCTCAGGAGTACTTCAGCAGGCTCAGGAAACCTGAGGGTGTGCACGTGGCTGGTCCTGCTCCCCCGTGAAGCCAGTAACTGCACAAAAGTGGCCCAGGACGAACTGTGTGAATGACACTAATTCAAATAAGGGCAGGGGGAGGGGGTGGGAAGGGACATTATTTATTTTTTTGTAGTAGAATATCATATGAATGTATCTTAAAATGTTTGCCTTTTATGTAATTTATGCCTTAAAATGGTCCTACTTTGTACCTTTCCTGTTCACCGCGATTAGGATACGTGGTGGTTCTGTGTAGTTTTCAGTCATGTAGAGAGCAGCAGGTGCTCAGGTTTTCCAGAAACTCGCTGACGTAAGAGCTACTCACGCAAAGGATTCCAGCTATTGGCCTGTTCAGCTAGAGGAGAGTGCGTGGACACTGAAGTTTGCCGTCAGGCAAGGTTTTAGATGGGAAGTGGTTTGTCAATGTTGTGTTAGTGCACTGCCTGAAAACAGGTCTAGTGAACCACAGTTGTAACCTGATGTTTATAACAACAGATCTGGCCTGTGTGTGTTCTACTTAACCTCGGTGTGCACCTGGGCACTGACTGAGCCCAGTTGTCTAGGCACTATTCAAAGTCAGTATTGTGAACATGGCTGAGTGTCAGGTCTAGTTGGATTATTGCAGCATTCAGAAAGAAAACCAAGGGCAAAGAGGACAAGTTCGTCCAACTACTTAAATGGGACACTAGTTGATAAGATGGGCACCAGAGGCTCCTTTGGACTTTGCTTCTAAGATTGGAGACAAAATAAGATCTTAAGAGTGGTACCTTGAGAAAGGTAGTCATTAAAAAAAATTGTTTTAAAGAGGGAGGAGTCCACGGGTTGCACCTGGCAGACGTGTTCTACTGGATGGTGCTCACGATGCCACAGGAGGTGCAAATAGCCCTCTTCTAGCTTCCAACATGGACAGTAGCCTGGAAGATGTGTCAGAAAAGAGGTAATTTGGAGGGAAAGGATATGGGTGATTTGAAATATCCTAACATTTTTTCAGACTGTCTTTATTGCCGGTAGACACCTGAAGCCTGATTTAGCAGAGGTCCTAAGTCATGACCATTCCTGTGGTCTCTGACCAACAAAGATATTTAGCTGCCTTTGAATGACTTTTTCCTGCCACATTTAGAGAAAAAATCATGATGTTTGAATAGCTTGATCCAAACCTTAATGATCACCCGCAACTTTGTGGATTGTGCTCCTTTGGGGAAACAAACAGAAACTGGTTTCTCCATAGTCAGACAGTTACAGCATAAGTGAAAAAAAAGACACACACACAAACATTTCTCAAATCACAGGGCTTGGACTGGAATAGCATATTAATCAACTTTTATATAGGTGCATCAGTATTCCTTCCATACGCCTGCCTAGTTGATAAGCAGGACTGTTTGTGACCATGAGTTGTTGAAGCTGGGCCGCTCTGCAAGAGTCTTCGTCCAGTGGAGTGGAGTGCGTGTCGTTTCCTGGAAGGAAGTCCGTCCAGTGGAGTGGAGTGCGTGTCGTTTCCTGGAAGGAAGTCCGCGCGGTTCGAGAAGGGCAGTCTGCCTTCCAGATGTCTGTGCCTGTAGTGTACTGGATCGGTGTTTCCTGTGGCATGGAGGCGGTTAACTGTGTGCTTCACTTGCGTGACAAGCACAGGACAGAGTCTTAGTACACGGAATGTGAAGACAGGCCCAGTGTTGCCAAACAAGTTACAACAATGCTGTCACAGAGGACATTTCTGAAAACTGCGGGGGAGCGGTGTTTGTGTGTAAATGATTGTAGATAGTCATTTTGATTCAAGAAACTGATGTATTTGCATGAGCCTTAGGTCATAAACTGCTTTTAAAGGTGGAGTTTGAATATGAGATTTGTCCATGAGGAAGAGAAAATGCCTTCTTTATCTTTAGGACAACCTCATCGTGGACTGCTTTATTTATATTACTAGTAACGCTGTTTTAAGTGTTATCTTTTTATTGTATGTTATTTATAAAAATGCCTTTATATGTTGAAATATATAAATATATGTTCACACACATATGTGTGTATGTATACACACATATGCCATATTTAGGAGGTTTGTGTTCTCCATAACAATGAGTTGTTCTGAACTTTTGTACCCTGCACAGTCACCAAACACCGGGTCACTTACTGTCATGTGAGCAGGAAAGAGTACAATGTTGGGGAAGATGAACTAACCTTGGCTGGGTGACTGCTGTGTCACTGAACTAGGTTCTGGTTAGCGCATTTAATTCTCACAAAGAAATGGGCAGAGCGAGCATTGTACTTCCCCAAGTCACGTACATAATGAGCCATCGAGCCTGAATTTGAACCCAACTGACCTGGAACCATCACATGCGCTCCTTCCACTTCCCCACGCATTTCTCCACGGTTCTCAGAACAGTGTTGTTCACTCTTGGATGGAACAAGTTCAGTTGTGCCCACTCCTACTGCAGGGCTCCATGGGGCTCCAGCCTCACAGCCAGAGAAGCTACTCTCTGTTACACCCTGGCAGAGAGAGCAATTTGCTTATTACTTTGTCTTCTAAGACACAACATTTCTCACCCTTGATCCCTCCTCTCACTCGAGAACTTAATCTTCATTCTGTTCAGTGATCACTCTTAATGTTCCTTCTAGTCTTAAAAGCCTTTGTGGTTTTGTTTTGCTTTTTGGTCTTTTTGGTTGGAACATTAAACTTTCCCTGCTTCTATTTGATCATTTTACTCCCCCCACCCCACCCCAATTTGGTTATGCACTCATTCTCTAATGAAAGGTGCTGTTCAGGATGCAAGCTAGGTTGCAATGTTTAAAACCCTTTGGAGTAGTCTTTTTAACAAAAGCATTTCTTTATGGACTTTGTTTTTGTTGGACACATATATGAACTTTGCATCCATATGAGGCTAAGCATGTCACCAATCCCATTTCAGCTGCAACACTGCCAAGAATTTGATCTTATCATTGAATTTCACCTGTATTGCTCTTTGAGATGCATGTTTTGTATCATAGAGAAAAATATGCTTTATTTTCATTAAGGGTTTAATATTGTGTTTGAAAATGTACATATTTTAAATGATGTAGCTCTGACAGGTTTTATTTGGTTGGTAAAGTTTTATATTAAAAGAGAACGCTGCTTTCATCTAAAGAAGCAAGTGAATACAGAGATGCACATATACTCCTATTTGTATAAACTGCTTATAGTTTGTGATTTGAGTGAGTATATTATTGAGAAATTCCCTTGGCACCAACACTCTGACTTTCCCTGAAATCCCCACCCTGTGCATGTCTAGATCCAAGACAATCCATCCTTCGTTCTAATTGAGGCCCTGAAGGAACTGGATCGAGGACAAGACTGATTTATGGATAGTTGGGAAAATACCTGCACTAAGGAGCTGTGTTGGGACAGACAGACCCCCTCGGGGTAACCCGGTGTTTCTGTAGAAGGAAGCAGAGGGTGGGGAAGACATAGGAGAATAGGGAGGAACACAGGAAGTAGGAGCACTCCTTCTAACGTTTTGTCTGGTTTTGCCATGCACCATGGTGAATCCAGTGTGGAGATTCAACCCCAGGAAGACTTGTTTTACTGCCTTAAAAATGGAAAAGGCTGGGCTTCTCTTATCTGGAAGCCAGTACAACCTTGTACATCAGGTATGGCCTTTATACATTGTACTCCTCCTATGTAAATCCGTTTTCCTTAAACTTCTGCTCTGAGTGCTACGGCTAACTTAATGGTTGGCAGTTGGAGCCCGCCCAGCAACACTGGGGAAGAAAGGCCTGGCGGGCTGCTATCAAAGACGATAGTCAAGAAGGCCTTACTGAGCGCCGTTCTGTTCCCGGGGATCCCTGTAAGTCAAAACTGACTTAACCGCAACCGCTGTGGTTTGTTGTTGTTTTGTCTCTTCCTGAAACCTCAACGCCAAGACGGAGAGGTCTAAGGGGAGATGAAGCTCCTTTTCCAGTAAGGCTAGATCTGTGAGCCACGGCGCAGCCACTTGAATTTCCTTCACTTGTCTGTCTCCTTCCAGGCGCCACATTCTTCATTCCTGGCAAGACCATCTCGTGACTCTTTGGCTTGTCTCTTCTCGTGTGTGTCCCCTGTGGAGGCAGCTCTGGAGCCTGCCTCCTCTAGTCAGTTGAACAAGCATTTGCTTGTGTCCCGCCCAGATTTCAGACGCACGCACTGGGAGCCAGTGAGTCATGTTGGCAGCCGACCGGAGTGTAACTTTGGAACCTCCCCAGGCCCATCAGCCAGCTCCCAGGGGCTAGGACAAGAAACTGCATCTGTAAGGCTTTCATTCGGTGGGGCTGGCATGGACGTCTGGGAACGCAGCCACTGGGTGTTCACGTTGGCCACTGCAGAGTCAGTAGCATGCCTGAGCCAAAGGAACAGAGGAGCAGGACCCTGGGCTCCACCCCATTCTCTGTTAACCAATGTTAAGGCAAAGGCCTATGACAGGAGCTTGGGTTCTTGGAGAAGAAGTTTGGGATTGGGGAGTAAGGAATGTGTTACTGGTGAGTGAAAGGAAGACAAGTATAGATCATTTTTCTCATCTTCTTTTCTTCCTCCCAGTAGGAAAGTGAAACCCTTTGTCCAGTAACGTCGAATGTGTGAGTGCCTTAGCAGCAATTTGAACTCCTCCTGTGAGAGGTGCAAACGAGAGCATCGGTTTGATTGATTCAGCAGTGGCTCGGTCCATAGATGCAAGTCCATGCTAATTTTTCCTGGAAGCAGCTAGCACACTCATGCTTCTTCGGCTCCTGAGCCTGTTCCCTGGACCATCTTGTTCCCTTGCCCTCTGACCCCTGGATCCTTGTTATTCTAACTGAAGCATCCTGGACCCTCCACCTCTCCTTTCCACAGGTTAGGCCAGGGCTTCCTTTGTAGTGTCACTTATGGGAGGCAACCGCTGCATCATGCAGCAGCTATAAAGAATGGGCATAAACTGGTGCAGGGGAGTGGGTGCCTTAAATGACCTTGGTTGTAAGACCCAAGTCTGGCAGAAGGGCCTTTCTGTTTCCCAGCTGCCGTCATTGAGCGTGCTTTTCCCCGTTCTCTGGCCTGCCCTCGCAGCACCATGACCACTGATCGTGGCGTTCTCTGGAGCCTCAGTGGATTCATGTGCAGTTTTCCCTTCCTACAAAGAGATTGTGTCTGCAAGGAAGAGAGGGATAGCTGGTCAGGGTCCCAACTTGGTACCAGAAACGGAGTGATGCCCAGCACGGTGTACGAAACGGGACTGGCCTCCTGCGGAGCATGATGGTGGAGGGGGCTGTGCCCTTAGCTGCTGCAGGGCCAGCAGTGCACACCCACTGGCACCCATGACAGGATGGGGCTACCTTCGCCTGTGCAGACCTAGCCTCTCGGACACCCTGAGGGGCAGTTGGTTCTACCTTGTCCAATAGGGTTGGTGTGAGTCAGAATCAACCCGGTGCCCATGAGTTTGGGTTTGGTTTGGGCATCATAAGGCACGCGTGATCTTTGGGATAACGTTGTACTTAGCTGCCTGGTGCTCTGTGCCTTCCCGCGCACACCTACATTGGTGACTTTGCTCCCTGAGGGTAAAATGAAAAAGGAAAGTTGGTGGTAATTACACCTCCCTAACCTTCCTTCCCAATCAGATGAAAAGTATGACTCATTCCCATGGGAACAGGCAGCTGACCAAGACCTGTGGGGGAAACAAAAAGTGGATATTATTGAGCAGCCCAATAGAGGTTTCAGGAGGACCCCCCACCCCTTTCCTCCTATGTGTCATCCTAAAGTCTCTGGAGCCCCAAAAGAGGATGGCTCCCGGTGTCTGAGGTTGGGGAGCAGAAGAGCATCTGACATTGGGGAGAAGGAGAGAACCTAGATAGATTCTTTTCTCTTTTACGTCGGTCTAGACCTGCCTCCCTTGGGGGTGAGCAGCCCTCCCTTTCAGATTCCCACTCACAGGAGAACATCTCTGGATGCTGGGAAGCGCCCTGGTACACCAGGAATCGGCCACCGTTGCCCCCACTGTCCCTGTGCCTGCCGCACCCAGCACTGCTGCTTAGGCATTGAAGGAAGGGCCTGCTAGGAGGGAAGAGCACAGGTCGGGGGGATAGGGTTCAAGCCACTACTGAACGTGGACTGCGGGATTTTATGTACCGAGCAGGAGTTCCCATTGCCGTTCCGTTCCTGCTCGCCTTCATGTGAGAGAGCTCAAGAGAACCCATTTCTCTCCCAACCAAGGAAAGGGGTCTGTCTGCCTGGTGCTCTTGAGGTTTCCGAGAGCCCAGCCAAATCCTGCATTTCTGTAACAGAAGGCAAGTTGCCTTAGCAGCTTGGGGCTAAAGGAAACTATACCATAAGATAGAGAATTGCCGTGACGATGAGAGCAACAGGAAGTGGGAGTCTACCTCTACCCCAAGAAGAGAGGCACTGGTTGGCTTTCTACTCCTAATTCATCACCA